CTGTGGAAATCAGTATGGAGATACCTCAAAGAACTAGGACTGGAAGTCCCATTTGACCCTGCTATTCCCCTGCTGGGGATCTTCCCCAAAGAATTAAAAAGAATCATACCACAGTGATACATGTGCACCTATGTTCATAGCAGCACAATTCGTGATAGCTAAAACTTGGAAGCAACCCAACTGCCCATCAACTGGAGACTGGATAAAGAAGATGTGGGGTTTTTTTAATATAAAATGAAGTATTACTCATAAAGAATAGGAAACTAGAGACATTGTCGCAAGCAGGTACCGTGGGTAAAGAGGACTCAGACTCGGATGGCAATTCACACACTTATCTTATATTATCCTAATTCATTTCAATAGAATTACCACGTCCCTGTACCTGTACTGCGCAAGTCCTTAATGGGAGCGCGACGTTTCCTCCCGCAGGGTCAGAGGGTCCGATCCGTAGATGAAGGGCGTCGAGTCGGCGCTAGGCTATCCGCCTCTCCGCTTGCCTCCTCTGGTCTCCTCTGGTCAGCGGCGATGCTCCTCCCAGCGGGATCAGGTGTGCAGATGTCTCGGTCGGTAGTCAGATCATCAGATGGACTGGTCGACTGGTCGGTGGGACAGATCGTCGACTTGCTTGGGCTCTTCAGCTCCTTTTATACTATTCTAGCTGGGCGTTCGTGGTATTGGTTCAGACTTATCACACTGTCCAGCTTGGGGCACACTCTGCCCAAGTCGGGGTACGCCCCGCCCAGTTCAGGCTACACCCTTATCAGTTCCCTACCACTTAAGGTTCTACTTTCATTACTTTCATATCTTATGGTTACACATCACTCTTATGATTGTATTATACTTAGGTTACAGCACTCTTAAAGTCACAGCACACTTTAGGGTTACAGCGCACTTAGGGTTATACAATTCCATCTTATTCCAAGGTGTTCTCCACAGACATTTATAGCTAAATGGATGCACACTGAGGCCATTCTCTTAAGTGAAATAAATAGGATTCACATGTGTAAATACCGAATAGTTTCTCTAATGTGAGAAACTGAAAGTGTAAATAAGGATTAAAAGGTATAACTGATAATGTGAAATAGGAAGAAAAGGGGCAAAGCGGAAGGGGAAGCAGGAGGGGTAGGAGAAAAGAAAAAAGGGAATGGAATTAATATGAGAAAAAGAAAAAATTGAAACAAAGTCTTTGTAGACAGGGAAGGATGAAGGGAGGGCAGGGGAATGGGGAAAAAATAAGAACTGGGATAGTTTATGTAAAGGCGCAAATTTCCAATGATGAATGTCATTATATCTCATACCTTAAATGTACCAATAAAATTAATTTTAAAAAAAGAGGAAATCAGAAAATGGAAAGATACCCAGTTCTTGAATAAGCAGAATCAATGTAGTCTAAATGGCTATTGAAGGACCCTAGTTAGCAAGACAGACTCCATATTGCTGCTGAAAGACCCACCTGCCTGCCCTTTAGATGAACTCAAAAGGAGGAAGCTTAGAAACCTCCTCCCCTTAGAGTCTCTTTAGAAACAACAATTAATCAACTATTGTTGTACAAGTGTTCTAACAGCAGGACGTTCTGCTTCTGTACCTTTTGCTTGCTTTGCTAATTCTATCCCATAGGGGGGCCTAGAAACTGTTGGCCTCAAAGGTGTATAAAACATGTTTGTCTCCCCGCAGTCGGCACGAATCCCATACTTGGCTCGGGTCCCGGCCGGTAATAAACTCCTGTGTGGATTTAATATCGGTCTCTGGTTGGTTCTCTCTCACTGAGTCTAACAGCTATATTTCCAAAACTGAAACACAGACTTACTGCGATACCAATCAAAATGCCAATAGCATTCTTCAGTGTAATATCTATCAAAATTCAGCAAATTATTTTTGAAAGAAAATAAAGGAGAAATAATCAGTCTAGGGAGATATTAAGTGTCAAAACAATGTGGTATTAGATGAGACAGATATCCAGGTCAATAAATAGAACAGAGAACCGAAAAATAGACCCATAGAAATATATCCAAGTGATTTTTACATCAGAATAATTAAAATTTTTAAATTATGATTACACTAAATATCAGTGATATAGGTGATCTAGATCCTTCATCCATTGCTTATGAATGGTAAAATGTTACAATTCTGGAAAAGAGTGTAGTTGTTTCTTACAAAACAACTTCTACTTCCTGTGGGAGACCAGAGAATTGAGGCCTAACTGGCCTCCTCTGTGAACACAAAGGAGAAAGGCTGCACTCAGAGGTGATCGCCTATCAGGGCAAAGTCAAGAGAGCTGAGGTTAAACTGTTTACCAGAGCATGTACTAGTGGACACGGGAAAGCAGGTGAATCCTGTGTTATTTTGATTGTTTGGGTGAATAAAAGTGAGGTGACCCATAGGTTCGGGGCTTCTCTACCTGCTACAGGCAAGAGTGCCCTGGCTGCCCACATGTTAAGCTGACTCCATGTCTCTGTCTCATTCATCCTCATTTGCCCCTGGTCAAGGAGAATAAAGTAGTGAGTCTAGGTCCCTAAACAAGGCCAGCAGGGTGGGTTGGCTACAGGTGGCATCCCAGTGTATGGCTTGGGACCATCTTCAGCTACAACTTTCTATTTATCACTAACTCAGCAACCCTTGGATTGACCATTTATGTTAGAGAAATGAAAATGGATGCACACAAAAATAACTGTACACAATGTTCATACCTGCTGCATTGATGATACCCAAACTTGAATCAATCAGATGCACTACTTCAGTATGTAAATGATGAAACAAACCGTCTTATCCATCCCGTTGAATGTTACCCAGCAATAAAAAGGAGCAAGCCACTGATACATTGCACAACTTGGCTGGATGTCAAGGGAATTAGCTGAGCGGAAAAAGCCAATCTGAAATGTTACCTACTGTGTGGTTCCATTTAGACAGCATTCTTGAACTATTGAAGAGGTTAAAAACAGAAAACAGTTGACAGGAGTTGGGAGAGGGGAGGAATGGTGGCAGTGGCTATGAAAAGAAGCACAGTGAATCCTACCTGGATAATCCAGGATAAACTCCCCACTCTAGATCCTTCATTTAAACACATCTGGAAAGTTCTTTTTTATACATAAGTTAGCACATTCAGGAATTGGCTGTAGACATGTGGTGGAAAGGAAAGGGGTTTATCCAGCTAGTATTGATGATGATGATGATGATGATGTAGTTATGCCAAAGAGTTCCACTAGTTAGTTCTTCGCTAATCACAATAGCAGTCCCACCTCTTGGAAAGCTGTTAAATCTCAGCATCTGGTCCAGAGCGTCTGCCTTCGAATGTGCATGTTAACCAGATACCGCAGAGACTGGATGCCCATGAATGTGTGAAAAGCCCTGCTTCTATCCTCGTTCCTTCCTTTGGTACTTAAAGTTTCTGCCCTTTATCCAGTATCTTAATGGAAATAATGGCGTTGAAACTAACAGATAAAAGATGAGCAGAAATTTAAGTGGAAACAAGGAAAAAGGACTGGGCCCACAAAATCAGAACTTGTAGTTTTCTTCTAGGAAGTGACAAAATTTAAAATGTCTTACCCTTTTAGCTAAAAGCTCCATTTCTCTGAATTTATCATAAGTAATAATTGGATGACTATTCAAAATGGTGAGTATAAAGATATTTATTGCATTTCTGTATATTATAGACAATTTTGAAAATCCTCATATCCATCAAGAAGACCAGCCAGGAGTGGTGGCACACACCTGTAATCTCAGCACCAGGAGGCTGAGGCAGGAGGATTGCTGTGAGTTTGAGGCCAGCCTGGGCTACACAGTGAGTTCAAGGCCACCCTGAACTGTGCAGTAAGACCCTATCTCAAAAAAACAAATAAAAGAAAAGAAAATTTTAAAAAGAAGACCAATCTATGGTATAGCAATTCAATGGAATACCACACAGCAAATAAAGTGACCAACTAAATATATACTAACACAGAAATTTGCCCAGGCAATATTCTTTACTGTGAACCTCAAGCTACAGAAGTCTTATGTATTTATAAAAATGTGAACTTTGAAGAGTCTAGATTTCTTAGAGTAGAAAATACTCTTTAAAGTGGTGGGTCCTGGTTATCATTTCCAGTGCAACAAGTAAGTATTCCCTACCACGTAGATTGTTAGCTTGGGTTAGTGATAGTATTGATGTGAAGAGGGAGACTTTATTGTCTATTTTATAAACTCCTGTGATGTCTGGTTATCATAGTTGAAGAATGTATGTTGCTTTTACAGCCAGTAAAGCTATTAAAAAATTTTGAAGAAAAACAAAATGCTATAAATGAATACAGAGATGTTTTGTTTGGTGAACTCTTCCATAAGTCAAATTTGAAAACTACAGCTTGGTCATACTTCAATTTAATAAAAATGACTAACTCTGTGGGCAAGGCAAACAAAGTATAAAATATAGCAATAATCAGTAATTTAAATGACATCTTAATAAAAATCAAGACTAACAATTATAAAACCTTTTATAGCTAACCTGCTTTTCCCTTTAAGAATGCTCACAGATTAAATTAATTTTTCTTTTCTTTATTTCTTATTTTTTTCAGTATTGGGGTCAAACCCAGAGCCTTTGTACTGAGCTATATCCCAGCCCTTTTATAAAAAATGTATTTTAAAGATAATTTTTAGAACATGTATTTTTTTCCATTATGGAAAGACATCCTGATCAAAATAAAGATGTCATTCCAATGAGAATATCTGGAGATTTCATCTTGCCTCACTAGAACATATCAGAATTTAGTGCTGCTCAGGATTGATACGCAGTGTGGTGACTGAACATTGAATAGGCGTGTCACTCCTCAGGAAGGCAGAAAGCAAATTCAGTGCACAAGCCTGGCAGGTGTAAGGATGGCCAGGAACTAAGGCAATGATCCAGCCATCTGGAAACATTTGCAAGCTATACTTTAACCTGAGTTAAGGTACAATTAGCTGGTGTTGCACGAGCTTTGTCTTTTAGCTAAACAGAATGAAATTTGGAGCAGATCCCAGGTCATTGATTTAATGAATTCAACTTGGTCTTTCGGACCACAAAAAATTAGTTTGTATCTAAGTCACCACACTCCAAATAGCCAGAGTAGGGGTAAAAGCTTGATCTTAGAGGATGCCTACCTGAGTTCTGCCTCCACTCACAAGCTGGAGAAATGCAAAGCAGTTATTTATCCTCTCTATGCCTCAGCTTCTGCCTCTAAAATTGAAGGCAATAATAGCTTTATAAGTGTCTTTCTGTGAATAGCAAACTAGCTAATACATTGGCAAGGATCAGTAAGATGATTTATCTAATCTCACATGAGTAATTTATTAATGGACTTGGACGGGGGCTCCTAACTCAAGGGCTCTTCCAGTCCCATGATAGCTACCACTAAACTAAGTGACAAGTAATGGACATATCTGGGATTTACACATGCATACAGTTTGCAATGGTAAATCTTCAAAGAATGTGTTTATGGTTTTGGAGCTTGCCTCCTAATGAATACTGAAAATAGAGGAAGGCTGCAACACCTGGATTTTTTCCTTCTACTCAAGTTTCCAAAGTGCAGAATCAGCCGGGGATTTAGCTCAGTGGTTCTGGCGCTTGCCCCATAAGCTCAAGGTCGTGAGTTCGATCCCCGGTACAAAAAAAAAAAAAAAAAGTGCAGAATCACAGGACATTTGCCCTCTGTGGAGTTTGTCTTTCTATTCTTGGAACTGAGCTCTGAAGGTGGAAGCTGGAACTGGTCCTAGACTGAAGAGCAGCTTAAATCCTGTGCTATGGGGCAAGCCCGAAAGTAGGGAACCATCCCATCCCGACAGCCCCCGGCCAGCTGGAGCTTAGCAACCGTGCCTGGGGCCGAGGCTCACTACAGGAGAGTAGCAGGAAGTGCTAGAAAGTTTGTGTTA